CTCACCCACTTTTCACCATGTTCTGTATCTTAATCCACCTATCCCCTTTCACTGTCATTGCTGTTGCGTTGGCACCATGCTTGTTTTCAAGCCGGTGGTAAATATATAATATATATACAGAAGTGGTTTAGTCGCTGTCACCGGCGTGCTTTGGACCATGTAGTCCGAGGTTCACGCCCCGCCCCCGTCACCCAATTTTGGTGGTAGACAGCTTTGCTGTCATCCAGTTCAATAACCTTCCTAACCTATCGGGACCTTATATGGTTCGCTTCTCCAAGTCCTGGGGCTTAGGTTACCGGTTTCCATCACTGAACAGCTATCACTTGTGGATATGGGGTTTACCCCGTCTGCTGTTCATCACACTAACAGTGTGCAATAAACGAATTTTTTTAAGTCACCAGAAGATACGCAAGAACCCACACTACACCTCTAGTTTTGGCACTGACCTCCGGCTAAGGTGGAATGTGTCTCAATGTATTCACTGACAAATTCCAACGCCTTAACGCTTCACGAACACCTTCCTTTTCTGGAAGAATGTGTTCTTTTTATTATGAATTAACTTCTCGTGAAGATTTTGCTCACTCAGGGAGAAAGAGATCATGATTGTGATGATAGGAATGACTCACACTACACTCCCTCCACTAAAAGACAAGGTAGATTAGAGTAAGCAGTGCATGTTTCAGTTTTGCAAATCAAGATCAACCCGGACAGATGAAAATACACAGACAGATAAGCCTAAAAATAAAGAGTAAAGCTTACTGCTAAGCCCGGAGTATCCGTATCCGGTGGAAAAGCCAAAGTCACAAACGGTCCCGTTGATTCCAATTCCATTCGAAGTGCTTCGGCTAGCCCTCGCACCGCATACTTGCTGGCGCTGTATGCGGCAAAGCCGAAAACCGAAACTTGAGCAGCCATACTGCTGACGAACACTATTCTTCTGTCTAACGAATGAATGTGAACACCGTTCCGTGTGCAAGGTTTCAACATGTGAGGGAGCAGGACCTTTACGACGTAAGCCGAGGCCAAATAGTTTGTTTTGATTAGACTCTCAATGGCTTCCGCGGGCGTGTCAATAAATGAACGGGAGACAGCATAACCGGCACAGTTGACTAAAATATCAACACCACCTGCAGAGAAGAAACGCATGGATGGAATTCATTTATGCACATGCCGCTAACAGGCGGGGAAGAGATTGACAAACTACTGTAAGTAGATTGCCTGTGGAAAATCATACTCAGCACGTCTCATTCAATTCACGATGTCTTTCATCTTACTTTAAGTGACTTTTTCCTTTGTGAGGATAGGACGGCTTCCTGGAACATTCCACAAACAAACTTTGGAATGCAGTACAAATTCGCATCCCCAGTACCACAGGACTTTTTTCCTTTGAGAGCGCATCTCCGACTCTTGTACACAGCCGACGGGCTGTTTTTATCGGTTTTTAAGGATGGAGGTTCAGCGTTCGTTTTCGAGTCAAAAAAATTTCTGGGCTCAGTGTGGAAGAGAGAAGAGGTTCCAACGGAATGGTGCGAATAGGTTGCCATACCGATTTACAAGGTGACAGATCCTCTTGTGAGAACCACGGAGGAAATAGTTTATTCAACATCATCTCTAAACGTCTTAATGGTATCATTCTCCGTCGATTGTCTGCCGCACGTGAACGGTGTATGCATGAGAGGCTCGGTTCAGACCTGGTCAGGACTGTATTGA